ACACTCACTCACTCACACACTCTCACACACTCACTCACTCACTCATACTCTCACTCACTCACTCACTCACTCACTCATACTCTCACTCACTCACTCACTCACACACTCACACGCTCTCACACACTCTCACTCACTCACACTCTCACACACACTCACTCACACTCACTCACACGCTCTCACTCACTCACACACTCACACGCTCTCACACACACTCACTCACTCACTCACTCACACACTCACACACACTCACTCACTCACTCACTCATACTCTCACTCACTCACTCACTCACACACACACAGCGGGGGTTCACACCTGTCCTCTCTCTGTCTGCAGGTGAACTTCTTCAAGGAGTTCTGTGTTTTCTCCCAAACGCTGCAGCCTCAGAACAGAGACGCTTTCTTCAGGACGCTGGCTAATCTGGGGATCTTGCCGGTGCTGGAGATCGTGATGGTGAGTGAGCGCTGCTGGCTGCTGGATGTGACACATGTGCTCCGCTCGGCTGACGCTGTGGTGTGTTGTGTTGAAGGGCATGGAGGATGTGCAGGTGAAGGCCGCAGCCACGGACATCTTCTGTTACCTGGTGGAGTTCAGTCCGTCTGTGGTGCGGGAGTTCATCATGCAGGAGCCGCAGCAGGCCGACGACGTGAGTATCAGCGTCTCCCTGTGTGTTTCCCTCTCAGACCAGCAGGAGTCGTTAGAAGCACATTCCCGACTGTGTTTGTTTAATAAGACGGTGTTTTGATAGTTTGTCTTAATAGGCTTGATTTCTGTTTTTAATAGTGTATGATTGTGCAGGTGTTTTCTGTGAATTGTTTGCATGTGTACTAGTGTGGAGATACGAGCCAGCAAAGCCAGAATGAGTTTTTATTTTGAAATCAAGGACCACAGTGGAAAGAAGTAACTTTGTATTATCCGTGACTGAGGAGTTGTGATGCTAATCATAATCACGATTATTTTGGCCAATATTGTAATCACGATTATTTAACACGATTATGAGGGGGCCATATGACCAAAACTTTGTGAGTGATTTATTTAAAGATAGTGATGATTACGTTGATTAATTACATGACCGACGAAGGTATACATGAATAATCACTAAGCTCCGCATTTTGACACATTTTTGCGTGTATTTGACCGTTTAGGCGCTAAAAGATGACTTTACATGTCTATGTTCTGCTCCGTCTCTGAGCACATATATCTTCCTGAGGAGCGGCGCGAGTTCTCTTTCACGCTTTTAAAAACATGAATAAATGTACTGCTATAAATCAACCACGTCCCGTTTTGCAAAGGTCACGTTACATGATTGTACTGATTTGCCCGTGAAATTGGGCATTTATGGAGGAACGAAAGTGCAGCGCTGGAAAAGCGGTGGAATGGGCACGTAATAATAGTTTCATCTCGATTATTGTCTTTTCATAATCATTGGAGGTCGAAATCGACACACTAAAATCTGTCACAACGGCACTCTAAAGAGCACCAGAAGAGCTATTGTTTGAATGTGAGAGCGGAGGCTTACAGTAATGTTTAGTGAAGCTGTATTGAAATATACTTCTATAAATCAACCACGTCCCGTTTTGCAAAGGTCACGTTACATTATTGTACTGATTTGCCCGGGAAATTGGGCATTTATGGAGGAACGAAAGTGCAGCGCTGGAAAAGCGGTGGAATGGGCACGTAATAATAGTTTCATCTCGATTATTGTCTTTTCATAATCATTGGAGGTCGAAATCGACACACTAAAATCTGTCACAACGGCACTCTAAAGAGCACCAGAAGAGCTATTGTTTGAATGTGAGAGCGGAGGCTTACAGTAATGTTTAGTGAAGCTGTATTGAGCAGAGATCACAGTGCATCATGAAGCAGGTGTGTTTGTGCTCAGGACGTGCTGCTGATTAACGTGGTGATCAAGCAGATGATCTGTGATTCGGACCCGGAGCTGGGCGGTGCAGTGCAGCTCATGGGGCTCCTGAGGACCCTCATGGACCCCGAGAACATGCTCGCTCCGGCCAGCGTGAGTACAGCCTGACAGCTGCTGTTTCTCTCCAGAGAGTGGCCCTCTGCAGACACTCGTTCCTCTGTGTGTGTTTGGACAGAAAGCGGAGAAGAGTGAGTTCCTGAGCTTCTTCTACAAGTACTGTATGCACGTGCTGACGGCTCCACTGCTGGCTAACACCGGAGAGGAGGACCCAGGTGAGACACACGCCTGCTCCGCTGCTGCAGTGTGCGCACATATCAACACATGTCTGTCTGTCCACAGATCTGACGGAGGGAGCGGCTGAACCCAACCCCGTGTGTCCAGGTACCGTCTCACACTCCTCTCACACACACTCACACACGTGCTTGAGCTGAGCCTGTCTGTGTGCTGTGCCTCAGATAACCTCCAGACGGCGCAGCTGCTGGCTCTGATCCTGGAGCTGCTGACCTTCTGCGTGGAGCATCACACGTACCACATCAAGAGCTACATCATGACCAGAGACCTGCTGAGGAGGGTGCTGACGCTCATGAACTCCAGACACAGCTTCCTGGCGCTCTGTGAGTATCCTCAGTGATGACTGGCCTTGTGTTAAATCACTCGATCAGACAGCGGCTCATGGGCCTTGTGCGGTCACAGCAGTGCTGCACCCGTGTGATCTGAACACAGTGTAGAGAGCAGTCTGCTGGGGGTTTCTGAGCTCATCCTCGCTCCACTCATGTCTCCTCCTCTCGTACACACACAGCTGCTGCTAACACACTCTCATCTCTTGCTCAGGCTAGTTAAGCCAGGCACATGGGTAATAGTCACACCGTAATCCAAGCATTATATGAGTATTAAAATCACAGCATGTTCATGAAAATTTAAGAACTTCATAATCTAGTTCAAGCGTGAATTTGTATGTAAATGCACACACACAGACACATATATTGGGTTTTCATGTTTTATATGCACTTTACATAGACACAATGATTTCTATACTGTACAAACTGTATTCTATCCATTAACTCTTACAGAAAACTTTCTGCATTTTACATTAAAAAAAAAATAACTTAGTATTAATTTATACTCACACACTCTCTCTCTCACACACTCTCTCTCACACACTCTCTCTCACACACACTCTCTCACTCACACACACTCACACACACACACA